ACGGCGCAAAATTACCGAGAAAAGAGCATTTTCCGGTTCTCTCTATCGGAATACATCCGCGATGATTGACAAATTCCCGGAATATGCTCTTCCGTCTCTCGGAAAACCCGAGCGTGAAATCTTTCCGTCAACTGGACATTCTATCGAATCCATGGTATGATACGGCAAAATTCACATATCAAACGTATCAAACGTATTATCGTATGTTGCGTTGACATAAGGCTTCTTCCTCCAATCTCGTATACAAAAGTTACCAATGATATTGGATGTTAGACATTGCCCGAAGAACGTTAAACTTTTTGCATGCTAATTCAACGAAATCAGCTCATGCGTTCAATCGCCCAGTGAAGGGAGATCCTGTATTTTCTCCCAACTTTTTGCGTACGATGACATATGGAAACGGATTCGATGTTATTAGATTAAAGATTAAATTACTCTCGTGTCATCACATAAATAAAAATTTTTATTTTCATGAATTTTTGTGTCGTACAGTTAAAATCGTGGTACAGTCACTATAAAAAAGTTAGTTCGATATAAGATAATATATTTACGATTTTTGAGATTAAAAATTATATTCTACAGGGCAAATCTCTTTTTACTTTAACTCAAAAATCAATTATTAATTTTATACTTTAAAAGGCTAAAAGTGCTTTTTGTGCGTACGTGCGTACAATATCAAATTCATAAATCTTGAGATGTGTTAGATTTATTAGCTTTTGACGTAGCTGAACCATATAATTCTTCCTTAATGGCAATAATGTGACGGCTAAAATCTATATCTATATATAATAATAAGCGGGGCGCTGTAAGAAACCGAGTGAAAGGCAACAATGTGAAGGCGAGCGTTCGCACGTAACGCACACATACATATATACAATCGAGCACGTGCGCGCGCACAACTGTCAGTCGCATACAAATCTGTGCGAGAAAAAATCGTCGCTATCGTTAAACCGTATATTCGTACAAATAACAGAGATTCTTCGCATTCGTCATAAAATTATGCAAGGAAAAGACAAGAGAGAAAAAATCCACGATCTGAGAGAGAGAGAGAGAGAGAGAGAGAGAAAAAGATAAGATGACGTAGCGCGGTATACGTCAAAATCGTGTCGTCAAAGTTTGTACGTACAAAAAAAATCTCCCCTCCTCCCTTTTTCTCGTCCAATCGTCGATTGTCACACACGTATCCTGCCCGATCGTGCCGAGCATTGCTGTTACACATGAAATGAAATCGCTCATTGCGCACGCAAACACATACACAAGTACACATACGTAGCGCCTGTCTGTGATCCAGACGGGTGTTGTGTAGAGAAGGCGCGAGCAGAGATTGGTTCTCCCTGGATACGTCAGCCACGACAAAGACGTCTGCTAAATAGCGAATTATATCAGAATAATCGTTTTATGTTTCTGGTACCCGGGGCCCGCGGCTCCGAAACGAATTTCATTTCACGCGAGGAAATAAAAAGAAAAGAATGGAAAAAAAATGCTCGGGTTTTCTCAGTAGTTCGGGATAATATCGGGCGTAATATCTCTTTGCTCGTACCGTCATACCGAAAGTGCGTCTGTGCGCACATATGCTGCAATTAAGGAGGGAAACCAGTGTAACCGGTGGCTATTTTTAAGGATTTTTTTTTTCTGGTAAATAATTGTTTCTTTTTTTCAAATCACGTTATTAACATCACAAACTACATAATTTGAACTATTTTTTGTGAAATTTTCGTTAGAAAATATTAATATTTATAGCTGTAATAGTCAATAGCGTGAGCCGCCTAAAAAAAAAAACGGGTGCACGCGTAGTGGGCCAACGGAAGTTCTGAAACAAAAAAAACAAATATTTTCTTAAAATATAAGACAATAGCTTCAGTTGCACGTATGGATTTAAAAAAATAATAATTTGTTACAAAATGGCGGACTTTTGAAGAAAAAAGTTCCAAAATCGGTGAGATATTGATCTCTCTGTTTTTTAACATTACAAAAAAACAAATTATTCAATCGAAAATTCCATACGTGCAACTGAAGCTATTGTCTCATATTTTAAGAAAATACTTTTTTTTTTTCCCCAGAACTTTCGTTGTCCCGCAACGCGTGCGCCCGTTTTTTTTTTAAGGCGGCTCATACTATCGGCTATTGTAGCTATAAATATTAATATTTTTTAACGAAAATTTCACAAAAGGTAGTTCAAATTATGTACTTTGTGATATTAATAACGTAATTTGAGAAAAAACAATTATTTACCAGAAAAAGAAATCCTTAAAAATAGCCAACGTTACACTGGTTTCCCCTCTTAATCCAAGACATAATCTGAGTTCATTAAAAAAATTGACAAACAAATAATTTTCCTCGAAATTTTTATTAAAGAAAAGTTGAAACCAATTGTCGTTAGAAAACACAGAAATGAAACAACTTTACAAGATTGTATGTATTTAATTTGAAAGATATATATATGTATTTTGTTTGAAAAATAGCGCTTCTCGCTACTGTATCTAACTTTCAATAATGTCAGAGATTCTGCTCCCCGAGGACTCTCACGAGTTCGATAACGAAATATTCCTGTAGAATAATTATTCAGACATTGAATGTGAGCCCTAAGGCATTACCTATGTGCGCAAAGGTCGATGATGATGCGCGCGCGCGACACACACACACACTCACACACACGGAGCTCTTTAGAATTTCCAACAGTTGGACTGACAGAAGACTGTCAAAGGTCAGAGTGAAGTAAAAGACAAATAAATGATTTTTGTATGGAATGAATGGAAAAGTTAAGGGAAGCAATGGCTCTGCCGATTATCCGGGAAATAAATGAGCGAGAAATTTCTATTAATCTAAGATAATAATGCGAAGAGAAGAGCGATGCAAACCGAAAAGATATCCAAGAAATTGTAAAAGTCCAGTTACATGTTTATTTTCAAATGTTCCTGAAATTCACAAGAATTTTGCTGACAAAGATTTAGCGACGGATCAAAGTTACACATATTTTCTACCGATATAAGCTTTAAGGATTAATTATGATATTGTAATTCACGATAAATCATGTAGCTAGTATCGAGGGTTTCTAAGAAAAAAATCCATTTCAAATTAAACAAAAAAGTTTCTCGAATGAAAGAAACTAAAGTTGGACTTTCCTTGGTTTTTGCTATATGAGATCGATTAAATTAATTTTTTTTACATTATTAAAATTAACTATAAAAGTTTATCTTATCCAATTTGATATCGTACAATCTGTTGCAACATATGCGCAGGTGAATAAACAACGTCTCGACGAGCACATCCGAGAGCAAGGGGAAGCCGATGAAGGACAAAGGGAGCAGGTCAATTACCCCCAGATCATCGAGAAAAATTTCATATCGACGATCAATGATCGCTGTTATTAAAGAAAATACCAGTGGCATATGGCTATTGCAAAGCTCTTCTTAAATATCGTTAAACACAAAGGCGGTTTTTTCCAGCGAACATAAATAATTCGCCTTAATATGCGCCAATCGCGATAATTATAAATTTGTACTAACAATAAGTGGGTAAAAGAGCTGATTTCACCAACCTTGGGTTAATTATAATCTTAATTAAATTTGAATCAAGGTCTAATTGCACGATTTAAGCTAGCATTAAGCAAATCAATTAGTGATTTCGTATTTTAGATAATAAGTAATCGAAAAACGATATACGTAATTACTGTACTTAAAGCATTCTTTTCTTAATTTCTTCAATTCTTCTGATTTCTAATCTGATTAAGCTTCGAAGAATATTTCTGTTAATGCACTTGTGTACGCTATGATAGGATTTAACGCGCGCGCACGGATCCAAATTAAGCTGAATAAAGCGTACTTGATATGAAGTAATGCAATTAAATATTTTTTCATCTTTTCACGATATCAACGAAAATACGCTCGATATTCGAATGGTTTTTGGTCGAGAGATCGAACGGCGGCGGCGAGAGAAAATGGTGTATAACCTTGCTCGAACGACCTCGATCGCCTTCACCGAGGAACCTTCGGTGTGTGTGAAACCATGACGAACACACGCATACACACGATCTCGCGACTGCTCGATCGGCTGAGATCGAACTCTCGTAACGCCACGCCGTTGTCGCGAGATCTCTCCTCACGTGTAATGCGAAATGCGACACGTTGCGATGATGTGAGAAAGATACCCAGATGACCAAATAAAAATTTAATATACGCGAAAAAAATATATGTATATGTAAAGAGTGTTTGAAAAGGATGTTTTAATACATAGAAAATAATATAGAATAAAGTACATATAACATATATGTAAATACAAAAAGTACAGATTTCTCTCTAAAGAGTTGCGTAAAAATGCCGTGAAATAAAATATTCATAAATAATTAAATGACTATTAGCCTATGTTGATAAATTAAGAGAAAAGAACGTCGTTCGCCTTCCTCTCACTCTCACTTTTTCTCACCAAAAGAAAATTTTACCGTGTTTTTTATTTCCCTAATTTTTTTTTGTAATCCCATTCCGGCATTGCATAGGTTTTTAATCAACTATCGAGATTCGAAAGTCTTTTTCGCTATCCATACATCTCGATCATACGAATTTCTAGGACGGATATACACGCCGATTCATGAAAATACAATGTATACGAGATGATTAATTCGTTCCTCGTACTTATGATCGTCGGTAAATGAAAAAAATCGATGTCGGTACGCAGAATATCGAATAACGCTAACGTCATAGGTACTAAATAGTTTCAGAGAAATACGATTGCTTATATAATTAATAGTTTCGACAAATGTTTTAAGAGAGAAAATGGATAGGTGCTGTTTTTCCAGAAACGGTGGAAATTTTTTTTCAAATAAAAAATTAATCACGGTATCTGTTTGCGCGATTAACGTATGTTCTATAACTCTAATCTGTCATGATCTTTACGCGTAGTTGACCGATAAAGTGCCGCTTAATGTTGTAATCACGTACTAATCACGACTTTGACGAATTACACGATAAAATCGATAGAAAGGAAAAAAAATTTCTTTCACTTACCCCTTCATTTTGTAGGAACTGTATTTTAGGTTTCTCGATGATCTTATGCTGAAACAGAAAAAAAAGTCATGATTAATTTTCTCTTTCTCATAAATGTAGATCGAATAAAATGTAGATAAATAATTAGTTGAAAAAGTAAAACTAACAATAAGATTAAGCTGCTGCGCAAAAATATTTTTAAACTACCGCTTGAAAAATTATGATAAAAATACATCATACAAATAGATATCGAACATTGTCGAAACGCCAATTATTTTGAAATCGTTAAAGCACGCGGATATGAAAGCCGAAAAGCGAAGTCGCGAAGAATTCCGGCCGCGGACGCTCATCACCGAAGGCGTTATAACAGCAGTTAATTCGAATGAGGGGTCGATTAGCGTAATTACTCGGTGCCGATTGCTCGTCCAACTTGGTCACGCGTCACGCGCGAGCAACGAGCCGCTGATAATTGACAAAGCGAACGCGTGCGATTAGGCCCGCATAAAAACGCGCGACTGTAAAAACGTGAGATTTTGTGGGCCCGCGTGAAATACGCGCCTCTATCTCTTGGCGATAACCTGAAAAGGGGAAAGTCCGCCGTTCATCTTTGTCCATTATCAAACGCGACCAAGATGTTTGTCGACCGCCACAATTATAATGATAAACTCGCAACATGATAATAAATCGCAACATTTCTTTGCCCCATGTCGAAATATTTCTCCCATTTTCCATCTCAGCAATCACATCTTAGCAATTACTTTGATCTCTCTTTTGAAATTATTCAATCTAATTTAATTTTATCGGAAGCTTATCTTTTAAGCATCTAAAGGCGAGTTTTGCCTTTGTACGTTCCTTGTATATTCGTCGACCCTGTTGCTCGTTAGACTCGTGTGTACATGATTCGCTAATGCCAACGTCCACGTGCAGCAGCGATGCGCTTACGCTATTCGTGCGTATTATAAACCTTACACGGTTTCCACTTATCGTCAGTTTGAAACCTGTCAGGACACAGACGTGCACGCGGCGGCGGCACGCGAGAAAATTAATCGCGTCGCGGAAGATCGCGTTCCCGTTTACTCGGGCGCGCGCCGGGTCGACCAAGATTAACCTGCTACGGGTATTGAGAGATGGAAAAAAAAATGATTTGCCTCTTTCCTGCAGCGCGATCGCGCCCTGTGTGATTTCACATATACTTTCCCTTTCAATCAACCATTAGAGTAAAACAACACAACTCATTCTCTTTAAATTAGCGCGCTTTCCAATCTCCCGCGAGAAAGAAAAATGTGATGCGAAATATTGGACATTATATTTTACGGCAAGTAAAGAAGAATTTATAAATAATTTTGTTGAAAATAATAAGTAATCTCTCTCTTTTAGAATGCACATGGTCAAATTCGCACGCGATACTTATAGTAATATTGATCCTTTGTACTCGTATGCCCGCTCTAAGTTGCTTGGATTGATAATGAGTTGAAATTACTACGAGTGCAGAGAAGACTAATTGTAAGCTATATTTAAAGTAAACAACTTATAACAATGGTTCTCTTCAATGGCTACTTGGTTCTCCAATATAATATATGTTCCAAGTCTACATCTCGAGGGACGCGCGCGAAGCGGTATGCTTTCACGATAATTTCTCGTGATCGGGGTACTTGGACCGACGACCGACGACCGACGACCGACGACCGACGACCGACGACCGACGACCGACGACCGACGACGGTTACACTTTGATGGCCCGCGGAAAAAGTGACGGCATTAGACAACGGCCGAGAAGTCCATTGCGGTCGCGGCGAAGGTTTTATAAGCGGCTCTCTGTCACGCTCGCATGACAAACACTAGTATCGTTGTATATGCCATGTGTGCTCGTGGATTGTGGCGTTATTATTCACGGCGTAATACGGCGAATAATTATACTTCCACGGCGAGTTACATAAACGCAACGGAATAATCGAGCGTCGCCCTGCTCGCCCCGGTCGCTTTCACTCGATAAAGGGATCCATTACAGTTTTAATTATTCTAATAATTCGCCTGCCTTCGGTAGACTCGTTATTCGAAAGCGCGCCTCGAATCGTCGAATACTACGCATTTATTCACACATCAATTTTTAATACACGCGACAGTTTATCGAAAAATGTCGTGAAATAAAAGTTTCCCTTTAGTTTGTATATTGGAAGAAACATTCGTAGGACAAAAGACAGTTGAGCTCAGGCGTTTAACGGACCCTTGTGCGACGCTCGAAAATTAACGATAGTCATCGACTGCAAGCACGCGTGCGCATCCACATGGTGTTAAGAGGACAAAGTGTTTCCCCTCTGAAAGGGGATGTCTTTCTCTCCCGCGGCGAAGTATAAGTGAAATTTCGTCGTCGCCAGCGCTATTGTCGATGCGGGTCGTTGGCCTCAACGGTCGAAAATATGGAAAGGAGAGAAGGCGAAAGGACGATTGAAGGAGCTTACCATCCGCTGATTAAACTCGTTTATGCGAAAACATTTATGAGAATGCAATATTTGATCGCAGAAGAAAGAAATAAAAAAATGTAAGATAACGTGTTTGATTTGATCAGAAAGGTAAAAATATATGGAACGTATTTTATCGTATACACTCTTTGTAAATATATAAAATGCCTATATTTTTCATTAAAAGGCATTAAATTTACAAAAGGCTTGCGACATTATATGTATATATAATTTCCATTTATATATATATATTATTATTATAACGCGCATAAAATTCAAGATATATAAATACAAGACCAGATGTAAATAAGATATAAAGGATATAATGACCGATTCGCAGCAGAGACGTTTCGTGCGCCACAAAAACGACCTCGAAAAGGTTCTTGTTCTTGTCAGCCATTCTCAAACAAGAGAACCTTCTCGGCGGCAGGTCAATAACTCTTCGTCCTGGGCGCAACCCCTCCAACTTCCCCTTGTCTCTTACGCATCGCCTTCTCACCCCCGACGGCGGAGGCAGCGACGGTGGAGGCAGCGACGGCGAGGGCGACGGCGACGACGACGACGGCGACGACGACGACGGCGACGGCGACGACGATGGCGACCCTTTATCCCGCTTTCTATCAGAATTGGATCTCCGATCCGAGTCCATCGCGTTAACAACAGCTCACCGTGTATTTTGGTCTTTACGGGTTATTCGCAGATTAATTATTTGTCTCGTGCGTCACATTCAACTGATGGAGCGATCGATTCGTTAATTGCCAGCAAATAGAGTATTCGAATATCGATTATCGATTAATTATAGCTGAACAGCATGTTTACAGAAATATCTTCCTTATAATGATCGCACATGCGTTTTTCCTCCATTTGATGAGTTGACGTTGAATTATCAACGTTGGCTTATCGCCGCTTAATTAACACGCATTTATAGAGACGCTGATTACTCTTTATTAACGTGAAGTTAATCACGAGCTATCACTAACATAACGCTAATGACCTGTTTATGAGAAAACGACAACAGAGCGATATTTTAGCACGTGTGTTGTTCTCCCGGTATATCGAGAGGAAAACCTGACATTTAGTCGAACAGAGTTTAAAAATATGTACACGCTTAGTCGTGCATGCGATCGGAAAAGGACGAAAAAGCAAGAAACCCATGTTGCGCTTGCGCACGCCTTTTGCACGCCTCGAGGTTTCCACGCATAAAACGTTTATTCGCAGATATTCCGAGGACGTCTGCGGAAATATTTTCTCGAGTTGAGAACGGTGGGAGAAAAGCTTTCCCAAAAAGTAACGTTCAAAAGAGCATCTTTTAACTTTATATAAAAATCGCAACTCTCTTTATGGCAATTCAAAATATATGACACTAGGGAAAAAGAAAAATATTATATATATATATATATTTCAATAGAAATAAATACCAACAGAAACAAATCGGTTTATTTTTTTCACTCAAAACGAATTTTATTTTCTCACATATAAACGATATAGCTCTTTTTATTTATAAAAGCACATTCATAACAATCGCCATGAGAAATCACGGTTATATACATAAAAACAAGTACGCTCTAACTTGCAGCATAACGACTCGGTATTTTTATTCATTCATTTTTTTTTTTTCGAGCGCTTCTTTCAATGAATAAAGGCGAAAGCGTACGCTCCACTTTGATTTCTGATCCAATTCTCGGGGGCAGAGATATCGCGCGCGATACCCATATTAACCTGGCACCCCCACCACGAAAAATCGGGTTCGGCCATAGTGCATAATTAGGTGCTAATTTGTTGCTAATTTATTGCTCTAAGTTCGAATTTAATACGGTGCTGTAGTAACACACGGTGATAAGAAACTACCTAATTAAGTAATTAAACACACAACTATGCGCTACGCCGCATCTACACTCGTGAATAACTCGTGGCCGCGTTTAAACCGTAAAACCGTTCTTATTCATATTAGCCAGTTGAACTATTTTATCGCCGGATAAACGACGTGGAGAGGACGTATTACGGGCTATTGCAAAAACAAAACGTCAATCGCGCGATAAACTTAATATTGCAATTATTACACAACTGATTCCACCAAAATAAGATCCGCAAACTGGTACTAAAGAAGATATATACCGGTTCACGGAAGACTTTAAAGGGCCAAACATCTTACATCGATATGTATTTAGTTTCCGATCAATTTCAAGAAGGATTACATTTAATGCTGACGCAAAGATAAGTGCAACTAGAGCAAAAGCGTGTAATGCTAAACCGATGATTGCCCCACTTTGGTCTACAACCAGACGTTCGCGGCTCGGTGTACGCCCGCGCGGAAAAGAAAGGTGGTTCGCCAAAAATCTCTCGTTCACCGGTCGACTCTCAATTAATTGCTCGGCGCAGGCATAATCGCCTTGCGACGAGAGGCACGGTTGCCGGTTCGCAACAGGTAGACAGCAGCAGGCAGCAGGCAGCACACGGTGCGCTTATTCGCCTCGCCGCGACGAGAAATTCGCCAACACCGCCAACTGGTTCACTTTCTCTCGGGCGGCGAACTCTATAGCCTGCTGTTCATTCTGCCTCCCTTCGTACGTATATATATATACACACACACACACACACACGCGCGCACAC